TCTTCATTTTCCCTTCTATTTAGCTCCCATTGATCTCAGCAACAAAATCACTTCCTTTTTAAAAGGAAGTGAATTCCAGTGTGAGCAAACCTGGAAGGATGGCTGACTTCATTGAAGGGCCAGAGGGGATCAAAATACAGGAAATAAAATCAAACACATACAAAGTGGCTGAACATATACATGTAGTTTTTAAATAAGCCTATATAAAATCATTTCCTTTAAGTATTTCAAAGACCTGGCTGTGAAAGAACAGGGTATTTTAGAGGCTGGACTGTCTTTGCCTTTGATAAAGAATGTTTAGACTACCATTTAGGAAAATGTGTTTATTATTATTATTATTATTATTATTATTATTATTATTATTATTATTATTATTATTATTATTACTATTAATAAAGATTGTATGTTTTCCTACACAATCAGGGTGGGTGGAGTGCTGACTTGACAAGGAAGTTAAAACACAAAAAGAAAGTGATTATTCACAGTGTGTTCCATTCGAGCATGTTAAAAGAAAGTTGAGTGGAAAGAAAAATTTGGTAGGGAAAAAGGGGCACAAGCAACACCCTTCACAAATTAAATCTGGTGGATTTAATTTTCCACCAGACTTGACACCCTCATAAACTTCCATATGTACTGACAGATTGTTTAATAATCATATTGTGGTAGCTTCCACTAGATCACTGTTTTAATGGCCAGTGACCTTTCTGATCTAAATCTAAAAGAGAACCATTAAGTCATAGCTAAGAGAAAGGTGAGAGACATCAACAACCAATATGAACCAAGGGTATTATTTGTGATGGCAGCTAAAAATACACTTTTATTCTAGGCTATGACCTCATGTGCTAACTCATAGATAAAATAAGTACAATATCAAAGTAATTTAAAAATATCTATACACAACTCACACAAAACATATGACAGACTAAATTCACTTTCAAGAGTCAGAAATGTTTTTTTTTAAATAAAGGTCTAACCACTTTACTCGTTTTTTTTTTTTTTTTTTTTTTTTTTTTAAAAACCCCGGGAAAAGGAAAAAATTTTTTTATATTTTTCTCCAAAAAAAGGGGCCCAAACTTTTC